TTTCTTGTGATATACTTCAGTGCTCTCCAGAGAACGCTTCATATTTGTTCTCCTGGATGATCAGTTGGCTACCACTGATTAATTAGAAAACAATCTAGTAAGTACTAACATTCTTAAATGAGCAGTTAAGATCTTAAAAAATCTTTTATTCCAATAGCATGGTAACAGAATACTGTGCTAAAACCAAAGATAGAGGCTATAGCACAGTCATAACTAAGGGAAGAACAAAGGTGCAATCAGTCATTATTACTGGCTAGATAGCAATAATACATAGCAATCAGAGTGGTTTCTAGGTGATTCACAATGGCACACTAGTTTTGAATTTGAAGTACAAAAAGACAAGGCTACCCAAAGGTCTCAGTATCACTTTCAGAAAAGGTTTCATATCTCTAGTTCAACAGAAGTGAAATTTATAAATGGTAACATGGAAGCATGAATTGTACTCGACATGAAAGCCATAATGACCATGAGACATCTGAATTACATCACTTGAACTATTTCAGTATGTCGATGTTGGAAGACACTGTATGGACAGTTCTGCCCATATTTAAGAATGGGATCTTAAATGTATTGCTATTTCATGTCTTAAGCTCTTGCTATTTAAACAGGAGTATTTTTATTCCATCAAGGCTACTGACTTGATTTCTGAGTAGTTACATGCTGCTATGAAAGAGGAGAGGAAAAAAAGCTGGTTTATCTATCTATCTATTTATTTATTTATTTATCTTTCACTGTAAGTAGAAGAATCTTTCTGTTTTATGACAGTGTAAAAATTAAGCCTGTCTTAACGTAAACAGATGGTAACAGATCCTGGATGACTGACATTTACTATGCCCACGCACAGCTCCCAGAGGACTCTACTTCCAATGTATTCCAGTGGAAATCCAGCAGTTTAGGGATGCACTTTCCAGTTTTACAGAACTTTTAGTACTGAATCTAAGACTTCTGCTTCTCATCAAGATAGAAAGAAGCTGCCTGTGCCATGTGCATGAGCAGTGTTTTTTCAAAATTTAAAAGCATAAAAAAGGGACGTAAAAAAAAAAAGCATAAAAAAGCATCTGCAAAGGGACAATCCTACGTATTAGCCATTTCCTTATAGCTCCAAATGGGATCTGCTACTTTTCCTACTCCTCTATGATCATTTTATATCCCATTCAGGTTTATCCCTATAATTATCTTTAGTCTCCTGTTTTGTAATGTACTCTTTTACTATCCTTCTTCTGCTAGTTATATATTTTATCATCCCTCTCATCCCATTATAAAGTAATTCTTGACTCCTTCAGTTAGTTAATTACTTGACATCTTTTTCCTTTGCTAGCCTGTACTAAACACCTTTAGCAATAGTGGAAAGTGGCAGCGTACTTTAATAATGGCTTCAAATAAAAACCTAAGGCTTTAGGGGAAAAACGTACACAAGCCAAGTGTTTCTACCTCTAAAAAACAACCACTTTTCCCATGTCTAGTTATGGAAGTTTCCTGTTATGAACTGGTAAAAGAAAGTGACAAAAATGTGCCATGCCTAAGAGGTCAGAGTAAACATGATAAAATATGTGCCTGAAAAGTTAATTCACTGGTTTGCTTATCACTTTCTTGGTTTTGTTCCACTAACCTGTAATTTTATGTATTAGTTCCCTAGGTTTTTAAAACTGTAAGCAGAGGTGTATTTGTAAGGTTGAAGTAGAATTGACTGAAACAAATTATAAAGAGGAGGCTATTTTGAATGCTTGCTGGTAGACAAACATAAAAACCACTCGTAGCTTCTGAAGATGCACACACATCACTTACACGCATCTTACCCATTAGCAATAGTTGAATTTAGCAGATTGAAAGAATGGCTGTGAAAATAAATCAATACCTCATAATTTCAGTTATATTAAAAACAAACAAACAAACAAACCAACAAAACAAACAAACAACAAAAAACAATCAAACCTGTATATGCCCAGGTCTACAGAGAGCATGCTTCTCTTAATGCTTGATTTTAGGTGTTTTAAAAATCTTCCAAAATTTTGACAAATGTGTCAACACTAAAAGGTCAGCCAACTTTGAAATTGGGTTCCCAAAACTTTCTTTTAAAATGTAAAAAACTGCCATAAAGCTATGTATTGAACTTAAACTAGCTTAAAAATTAACACTTAGCCAGGTTTCAGATCAGCAGTACAAACATTTTTTTTTAGGAACACATCCTGCCCTGCAAATTTATGCTCTGTTTTAAACTCTGCCCTGGAATATGCTTCTATAACGTTGGGTAACATAAAGACGTTGTTCAACTAATAAATACTTTCCAAAAAAGTTTGCCAACATAACTATTTAAGATGGGCCATTCTTTTGTTAAGTTTATGTGTTTCTATGATGATTTTAGCAAGTAGTAGTTTATGAAGATAACAGGCTGTGGCATTTGAGAACACAGTAAGAATGGTGCAATTTGCAAGTTTTTGAGTGAGATTGCTTAGAAGTTCCAATACCTCTGCAAACTTCCTTCTGCTGAGTAAGACATTTTGGCAGGATTTAATGACTTTCTAATATTCCAAGTGGCACAAAGCCTGTAACATTTTCTGTTGTTGTGGCAATGGCATTTTTTTTTTTTTAATTAACTATAAGACATATCTGAAGGTATTTAATGGAAACCTTGGGCTAGGATACAATGTAGGGTAGAGATGTCAGAGAAAGTAAAAAAATCTAGAAAAGCTGTAGGACATATTGCTGGTAGAGACAAAGAAAGCTCTGAATATTTATGGTCTCTGGGATCCTTAATTTTAGAACTGAATGGGTTTCTTCCTAGGGGAAAGTTTAAAAGTTGACATGATTTCTGTATATTATTTTTAATGAAAAGTCAAGTTAAAAACCATTATTGGAAGACATTATTAATGGTTCACAGCTAGACATTTTCCATTGATCAAAGTAGAAATTACAGGCAAAGCTTCTAGTCTAAAATTTACAAAGTTTATTAGATTGAGCACTGCTACTTAGTGCTGCACTATGTGAAAGAAATGCTCGTTTCCTCGTCTTTGGAAGTAAGAACTTTTTTTATCCTGGTTTAGAACAAACCAGAAAACAAACAAATAAATAAAATATGTACTAACAACAAACCAAAAAGACTTAAAAATTTCCAAATAGCATAGCCTGTTAAAATTCTTTGTGAATTTTACATCTATCCCAAATACTTTCAGAGGACAGATAATTCCATGGCAACATGAGGGATCTTTTGACATTTTTGTTAACATTAAATCACTTCCATTATGGACAGGCATGTGGAGCCAAATCCCAAAGTGCTGGGGGTTACCGATCTACCTTAAAAGAAAAAACAAAAAAAAAAAAAGAAAATGCCCTTAGTCATGTTCCTATCGGTATGTTACATCACCAATCCAGCCACTGCCAATGGCTTTTTTGGGATTGGAGTTAGACGATCTTCGAGGTCGCTTCCAACCCAAGCCATTCTATGACTCTATGTCTTCTAGCAGTTCTGCTAGAAAAATGTATCTTGCTGTCCTCTCCCTTGGAAAGTTATTTGAGCAAGGATAGCATATAGTAGCCATTGGTCTCCCCAGCTTTTGCAAGGCTCAGAATATTGGGAAATAATGCATGTAGTTTGGGAGAAAGGAAAAAAGGATGGAAAACAGGGACATGGAAAGCATAAGGAAATGAAAGTGACATCAAGAAGCTTAATATGAATTAAATATGAATTTTACACCTGAAAAAAGTCACTTCAGTATTTGCTACCTAGCTGCATTAATTTATTAATTTCTATTTAATAAAATATAAAAATAATTTCAGAAAGTTAGAGTAATGGTATTGAATGTACTTTAAAACTGCAGTATAAACTGCTCTATTTAGCATTATATTCTGTTTCACAAAGTAGATCACGCTTAAAATACCAAAAGGGTAAAATGAAATATGCATACTCATCCTTAATTTCTGGTGTTAAATTGTTACATCTGATATTATACCACAACAATAGCTAAGTGGAGAACTAATTTCTTATAATTAATCTAGAAAATGCTACTTGAAAACAATTAAAAAAAAAAAAGTACCACAATATTAAAATCTGGGTAATTAAAGCATTTTAGTTGGTCAGATGAAACTACTTTGAATTATGACATATTTTTTACTTCAGTTAGTAAGGTTGTTTGATAATCATTGCATTCGAATAGATGTTAAATAGGTTGTTCCTCAAACATAATAAAAATAATTTAGGACTGAATTAGAAGAGAGGAAAGATGATTCTTTCCTGCAGTACTAGAAGTCACAAATTTTCAATTCCATCTTCTTTTGGAAGATGGAAGAAGCAAGTTGTTTTCCTGGTATTTATTTCTTCCTCTGTGAAATACTACTACTTATTCTCTTCACAAGTACCATACTTTTTGATGGCTTGCCAAAAAATAAAAATAAAAAAAAATCTGTTAGTATAAAAAAGCCCTAGCATTTAGTATACTTCTATAATTAGCAGTTTGGTATGAGATCAAAGTTATTTAAGTACAAGACAATGCAGGAGCTCATTTACATTTTACTAAGAAGAAAAGCTTAGTATAGTTTATACAAGTTGAAGTAGGTTCATTCAGCTTTCCATTGTTTCATTCTGTTCATTTCCTGTCTGCAAGACAATCATGACACTTCTATTATTTACTTCTCCCTACAATTTTTAAATTTTGTGTGCACACAGTGGGTGGGTGTTCCTATTCCTTATGTTAGCGAAGTTTTTCCTTCAGTTGCTCCTTCAATATTGTCAGGAATAACTAACTTCCATTCCCAAGACCTGACCAAACCCAACCGAATCCATGATGTCCATGCTGAGCTAGAATCTGCTGTTTTAATTCCCTGCTGGGAGCCTGCCAGTTGGGAAACGCTGACCAGCAAGTGCAGGTCTTAATTACACAAATCCAGAAGCTGCTGCCAAGCTTTCCCCATTGAGAAGCGTTTGCTTTCTAGTGTTCTTCTTGATGAACAGATTATCATTCAAACATAATTCATTGCTGCTTTATAAGTAATTAAATGAAGAAACCTTTTAAACTCAAGGGAATTTTAATAGGTTACTTGCAAAATGTTATTGCAGGCAACAACTTGTACATGATTTTAGTTCCAAACCCACCAAAAAAAAAAAATACAAATCAGCATTGTAAAAGTGTCAGATTAGTGCCTTACAGGCTTTGCTGGCAGAATTAAGTTCTAAATTCTAGATGTGGGGAAATGTTACTAATTTTTTTCCTTTTCCATTTTTTTTCTTAGAAAAATTTACAAGTGAAATATTACTACAAAACTTTTTATAAGGATTTTTTTTTTTGCAAAACATTTACATTTTTTACCATCAACTATTTTTCTGTTTCAAAATCATTATGTAGATTTAATACCCTATGCTGCACATCAATTCTTGCGGGATGACAATTCAGTGACATGCATAAAAAAACACCACAAGGCATTAAAATGAAGACTTAAATACAAATATTGTTGCAATAAAACAGTTATAAAATTGAAAAATAGGACCTAAACATCATGCTTACCTAACTCTGACAAATTAACTTTTTCTCCTAGATTACACACTTTTATTACTGCTCTCATGAAAGAATGTGATAAATAATGACTTAACACCAATTTCTAATGTAATCGGCAACACATACACAAACCTAACCAAAAAAAAGTATATCGTAAGAAAAAAACTAGTCTAACACTGGAGTTCTACCATGGTAAATACACTTTGCACTGATAATTACAATAAAGCAAATTTTTTAACGGTGGCAAAGGGAATGAACAGTGAAATGCCATTAAACAAGATACTACTGCACATCTGTGCCCTATTACTTACAACAGCTATATCCCACTGAGTCAAATAAAGGACGTTGAAATTTACGATCCTTTTAAGACAGAAAAGTGGATTCAGAATGGTATGCAGAACAGACTGTCAAAATGCTTCTAATTTCATCGGTAAAATGTGCACCTGCTAACACAAGTTAATGTACTTTAGATGCTAGGAACCCAACCAGATTTAGATTTTGATACATCTACAATAGGGATTCATTGTCAATTAAAAATGACTTCAGTTTCCTATCTGCATATGTAAGTATGCATGAACAAATTATATACGAAATGGTTGTGCAGAATGCTCATAACTTCAGTTTACAAAAATTGTTAACTTCTAGGAAACATGGTAATAACATTAAGAAACTTTTTCTTTGCATAAAGAAATTTATAGCACTGATTGTGAAGCATAATGATAAAATATATATTTGACATTTCATTTCCTATATAATAAAATTAACAGTTAATACTACCTAATGTTCATCTGTATTAAATGTAACATCTAATTGAGTCTGATGTTTTAAGTCCAGACACATCAGTTAAGAGTACTTTAAATAAAATATACAAAATAATGTACAAAACCCAACTAAAATTTAAAGACTGTTACAAGTCTACAAAAGCTTTAAGAAACTTGAAATTTATAACCACAGTGTAAAATTGTTTTTCTTTAATCTCAAAGCTTTTTCTTTTTTTTTTTTTTTAAATGTAAACTGAAAGTATAAAATACCTTCAGTTTAATATTTTGCTACAAAGGGCTGGCCTAAAGTGTACACAGTGTAAACAATGATTGGTATTTCTCTTGCTTCAAAAATACACAAAACACCACAAGATTGATAAAGTATTCAGATGAGAAGTATATGTTTTGTGAGAGAATGCACAAGGTATCTGGTATGCGTCTCAAACCAACAGTTACCAAACACATTCTTCCCTTTGTAATTTGCAGGAAAAACAAACAAAAATCTTAACCTTCTTACACTGTACTTCCTTTTGTTACATCAAAAATATTTTGGTGTATAAATTTTAAAAATACCGATCATGAGAATTGTTACCAAATGACTATATGTGTAAAAGGTTACATTTATGATTATGGGAAACAATTCAAAATCCTGAGCATGAAATATTTGGCCATCTTTCCTCCTCTTATGTACGGCAGTTTTTACGTATGAAATGCAGTTTTGTGTTATTGTTGCTTTCCATTTCCTCTATATTCCTATTAATCTGACTCAACTGAAAATATAACCAAACCTTTAAAATCAAAAGTCACATAATAAAAAGATAACCATATTCCTCTTTTCCCATTTGTTTTGTGGTTGGAGCCTCAATGTAAGATTTGTCAGGTAACAGATATTTATTACCAGCCCACATATATCTTTGAAGAGAAAATGAAGACAGTAATATTTAGGGGAAAGGAGAGAAAATGTTTACTTACAATGCCTTTTTTGGTTAAAATGTGGTAATTAATTCTTTTCTTTGGCTATTAAGTCAAAGCATAAAGAACTCATCACATTAACCACAAAAAAACAAACAAACTAGTATTTACAGGAAGATGATACAGAAGAATGATCTACAACACTCATGGAGACAATTCTCTGATTGATTTCCATGAATCCTAACAAAATTAAAACATATAAATATCTAAGACTGAATTTTTATGATTCATGTTACCTATGAGTTAGAAATGAACTGCTGATGCTTTAAAATATGAATATACTAAAAACTGACCCAAAAGTTGCCGTATTCATTCTTTATCCTACATAAAGACACCATTAGTTTTGTAAAATCATATGTTAATATCTTTCTATGCTTTAATCTTTCCTACTGTATACACTAATTCTACATAACCTTAACTCTCCAAAGAAAGAGAGGAATTAGAACTCACTGATTGTCATTTATACACACTACTATAATGTAGTGGTCAAAATTAATCTGAGGTCCACCTCAGATTCACTTTGCAGCAAGCACGTATCATCCAGCTGCTATTCGATTAATTCCAAAACTTGAGAAAAGACGGCCAAAATAAACTGACATGTTCTGTGGACTGAGCAAAAAACTAAACTATTTTCACTATCATTCAATCTATATTCAGTTTTGCTGTTTCTTATGGGAAAAGATGTTCTCATGAAAATATTACAAATTTATATTAAAAACAAAGTACCTTCATCAAACGATATTAATTCTAGTCACGGTCCACCCTGTTTTACATTGTAAATTCAGACAATATCAAACACTTTAACATACAATGCCAAAAGAGAGGGGAAAAGTTCATTTAAAATCATTACATGATATACAGACACATAACTAAAAAAGTACAGTATGGAAATAATATTCCCCCATCTGTTTATCCAGTACATCAATTTGCGCTGTTTGTATTTTTGAAATTTTCGTCTTGTTGCACCAGTGTACACTTCCCATGCTGACCCTCCAGCCTGGAACAATTACAGAAGTCAAGACTGAAAACATGATCTCCTGCTCTGTAATCCACTTTACCAGCCCACTTCCATATCCTGAAAGGTATGTAAACTTAAGTGCAGCACTAGGCGTCCATATAAATTATCCTTTCAGAATTCTTCCATGTTTGTTGAAACATTAGGGGTTGCTGGGTTTGAATCTTGAGAAATGGCAGCAACAGTGACAATTCTTGGAGAACCAAGAACCTCAGTAACTGAAGAGTCCAGTTCTCCTGAGGTAACTATGGCAAGGGCTGTTCCACCACCTTTCTTGTTCTGATGAGTTTTGACATGTTTCGAGAGATGGTCACTTCGCATAAACCTTTTAGAACATTCAGGACACTCAAATCTCTTTTCACCTTTTTAAAAAGAAGGATGAAACCAAAACGTTAGTGAAAGAGAGCACCAAATGCTTTTTGTTTAATCATTTAAATCTGACGCTTTCCTTTTTGACATTTGAAGTATCTTTCAAAGGATACAATACTTTCGTCTCTACCTGTCTGATTTCCAGGTCTGTTCTTTACAGTCATAAGTTCTTGGCAATCTACTCTTCACTGTTAAAATGCTCTTAACAAACATTTGCTATGCTATGATTATTTGGTGAGTAGTTTGAATTTCCGATCACCAGAAAATTTTCCTAAACTTCCATAAATCTGACAGAGTAGCAGAAGTACAAACAGTGAATGAAGCTCTTGATAGCATTTAAAAAAAACACTTTTATTTAGATTACAATTACAAGAATGGAATGTGGACACAAATTTGATTCCCAAAGCTCCATGAATCTGTCTCATGAGAATGTATAAAATCAAACTCAAGAAAAAAAAAATCACCATACTAAATGTTCCAACACTGTTTAAATATCATTAGACCTCTTTTGAGTGTTACCTTGTGAAGCTTTAATTTTGAGGGGGGAGAAGAAAATAAAGCCTTCTTTGGGCTAGAAATATGAAGACTAACAAAGCTTAGTTTCTAAATGGTCCAACTTTCTAATTTGAACTGTTAGGAGATCTTGCTTTATTCATTCTTACCTGAAATGTCAAGGAATTTCCCCAAACCACCAAATCTGATGAATGGACAAGGTTAAAAAAAATCTTAAGGGCCGGGGCTAATCTAAGTGAGGAGAACTACCCCTAATCCATGACGAATCCTACGTGCTCAAGAAAAATTGTCAAATTTTGATAACTAACTTACATCATTGATGATGGTGTCTCTTTCTAGGATACGTACAGAACAATTTGAACAGATCTTTATTTATTTAATTTCTCAGTCAGCTTGCATTAATGAAATCTGAAATCTACTGCTTTTCACTGTCTCAAGTTACTGCATTTACATTTACATTTAAAAGTAATTTTGAGAGACCCTAATGAGTGAGATTTTCAATATCACTATTTATTCATGGTTACTACGATTCAGAGTTACTGTACTATGTATAAAGAGAGGGCTGACCAACCTGTGTGGGTTCTTCTATGTCTTTGCAACTCATCGCTCCTTGTAAATCGCTTGCCACAAAAAATCCAGTTGCATACAAATGGTCTTTCACCAGTATGCCAGCGCAGATGTGCCCGAAGATGAGATGTCTTGCCATAAACTTTTCCACATCCTTCAATATGGCAGATATGTTGCTTCTTTTTTCCTGGCTCATTGCTGCTTCTAAAGAGAAGGTTTAAACTGGTTAAGTAATCTTATTCTAAAATATTATTAGTTGGCTTAGGAAAAATACTTCATGATAATAGACACAGTTATAATTTAGTAGTCTCTGAAAATAAATATATAAACATACTTTCTAGTGGATAGCAATAAACAACATAGACAGTACAAGAAAATCTCAAGCCCAAATGAGGAAAGCCGTGACAAGATGCCTAAATACGTATTGATAAAATTTACACTTATGTATTGATAAAGTTTACACTCACCTTCCTTCTCCCTCTCTACAATTAGGACATGAGCAGGCAACTCTTCTCAGTCTTTTGCCAGGTTGTGCTTCCTGGTCAGAAGCTTGCTGAGCTTGTTGCAGCTGTACTTGTGTTATCTGATCAGGACTAACAGCACCAATCGCTGCATTAGCAATGCCACCTACTGCTACAGTAACAGGAGCTATTGTAGCTTGCTGTACTTTTACTCCGTCCTGACCTTGCTGTTGACCTGTAAAACAAGACAGTGTTTTTACATTTTCTTGGTAATTTCACAAATAAGTTTCATGCAGTTTATAGAAAACTAAACTACTTAAAAAGAATCATAAAACAAATATTAAATCTAGCCATTTTTCTGAATTACTACAAGAAGATGTACCTGCTAACTCAGATAGTGCTGCTCAACATAATTTAATGTTACCAGACCAGTACAAGACTGCAAATGATATTAAGAAATGTGAATTAGTTTAACAAATCCTACCCCGAGCCCCAAATGCTGAGATAAATGAGAAGACAATATTTCTGTGTAAGATTTTGTTAAATCTATTGCCAGTGAAAACACAGAAGCACACCTACACTCAGAAAACTTCAACTAGCTCATTTTGAAAGTTATTTTATGACACAGAGAAGTCACTTCTACAATCTGTACCGACTAAACACTAAGCCACAAAGGAACTTTCACCAAAAAAAAAAGAAGAAAAAAAGAAAAAAAGAAGGGTCATAGGTCCAGCCTTAAAGCTCTGCCTCGCTAGCTTGTTCATTTTGTTTTGCAGAAGGGAGTATGTTTTCAAAAAGACTGGAAAAGCAGATTGAATCAAATACAATTAAAAGACTGACATGGTGAATTAAGACTTCAATTTCACTGCATAAGTTTATCAAAGGAAATCAGGACAATTATCTTGATATTAAAGCAAAATAAAGAGTATTCTCATTTAGGTAAGAAGTGAAGTTTCTTGAGCAGTAGGGTAGTATTATATTTACTTTAAAAGTTATAGACTATAGGGTCTGAGAAAATAACATGACAAGCACTCTGACACAAAGATGTCTGTGGTCTGACAACACTGAATACCAGTCCTCCAGGTAACAGGTATGGTAAAAAAATATCATCAGGTACTGCCATTTTCAAAACTTCATACAAATGAAAAATAAGAGGAAACACTACCTACTTATTGATAGAGTGTAATGACCAACCAGAATTCCCAAGAACAGACTTCAATATTCCAAGACCTGAAAGTCTGCAGTATTGAAGCACTAATTTAAAACTCTGAAATCCCTTAGAGGTAATATGATTCAGAGGTATTCAAATAGGTACTCAAACTTACTTCTCAGGCATCTGTAATAGAAATCAACACAGACAAGACTGAGAAGAACACTCAAGCCTAAATTGCCCAGTTACTAAGCGAGTTCATATACAACACCGTGTGAAATAACAACTACTTTATTCGTGTGACTGCTAAGGAGCAATATCTGCCTGGGCAGGATACGTTGTATAGTGCCGTGATAACACCCATAGACTAAACCTTACAAACACCAACACATACACGCAGACAGGTTAGGACTGAAGAACCTCCCAAGGTGACAAGACTGTCATCCAACAAGCTGTAGTTCACTATGGGAAATAGAATAAATCTGTGTTGTGCCTGGGTCAGTACCAGGTTATTTTCACTAGAAGCACTGACCAGTAAACTCTTGGTTTCATTCTGGAATTTGCACCCAAGTCAGCTAGATATAAACAAACACCAATTCCATGTTTTCTTTAGCAGGCCACAAATATCAGCAGATACCGAGTACTTTTGGTTCTTTGACACGAACAAGGGCAAACCCAGAAGTGATAATGATTGAAACTCACTTGGAATTCACAGGATTTTGGGGATAGACAGACAGTAATACAAGAAAAACATTTCTACAAAGAGTCTGGAATTGGAAGCAGAGGAACCATAGAAAAAGAATTAAAACATTAACCTTGAGTGTAGAGCCTCCATATATCCAGGCTAGAAGAAAGACTTTCTTTCCAGAATAGGAATATACTAGAAAAAAAAATTATTTAATAACAGGAAAGAAAAGCACTCACAAGAATTCTTGAAGGAGAATATGATAGGTTAAGGAGAACAGTGAGGTATAAAGGCAGATAGCAGTATCTAACACTTGGTTCTAGCAGTGGCAGAACAGGACGTGAGCTTCCAAAGTGCTGGTCCATGGGCAATTCCATGTCAGGTCATTAAGCTGCTGAAGTACTGAATGCTATGAATAGCTAGCGTCAAAGAAGGCTGATTGTTTTTGTTATATGTAATACTTATCTTAACACATTAATGTGATTGCTTGTGTTAAAAACCAGCTGTAGTTTTTAGTTAGCCAAAGGTAAATAAGTTAACAAGAAGAACTGGCTCTGCTTGTAGTCTTTTGCAGAGACACAAACTCCTCTCAGTGTGCTAAACAGACCCCAGATGTAAACTCCTTTAATCCACAGGGTGAGCACTACAAATGATGGCAGTCTAGCGACTGTCACTGCAAAACTAAAGATACATCATGTACTACAGTCACACCTACAGCAGCATCTGCTGCTATTCTCACAGTCAGGTGTGCTTTCAAGCACGTTAAGTTATTCTTTGCCATCAGAGCCTGTTAGAGAGATGACTCCATCCATGTCAAAAGTCCTATTTGACAAAAAAAAAAAAAAAAAAAAAAAAAAAAAAAAAGAAAGCCCCATATCCTGTTTTCTCCCAGTTTTCTTTTTTCTCTAAGATTTTCTCTAATTGACATTAATGCTTCAACACAACTTTTCCCAGGCTGCCAGACTAAAGCCTTTTCAGTACAATGTGAATTGAGGCACTCAAAACTCAAATCTATTGATCTATTTTTATTTATATTGATCTATTGACAATTTTTTTACTCCATGACTATTGCTAGAGTGATGAATGTCTGACACACAACTCTTGCTTGATCTGACCAATATGCATTTATGTGGAAGCCTGTTCAGCATTTCTAACATCACAACATATCGTGCTGATTTGATATGAACCAACTTTCAGTCCAAGTCATGAGATAGCCAACCACACAAGGGTCTTCTGATACTTCCTCATAATATCCAGCACTGCTGCTTACATACTTTATTGATCCTACACCTTCCCCCATCTTTTTCATTTGTTCTCCAAGGAAGACATGCATGGTCCACATAAGCATCTTGGGGAATAGGATACATACTACTGAGCTATAATCTCTATCTATTTACTTAACATGATATAACAATACATTTCAGTATAAATTCTTCATAGTAACTGTAAAGGTGACAGCAAAAATACAAAAGATAAGATGACAAAAGTAAGGTTGCTCAGGCAAAGAGTTACATTCTCCATATGATTTCAGTTAAACAGCAATTAAATGACTGTTTTTCAGATGGCATTAATACAGTTATTACATTTCTAATGTGAAGAGGAAGAGAATCAACATTTCAGTTCTTTAAGCTCACGGAGTTATTTTAAACCTCCCTTTCCTTGAATTCCACATAACCAAGATCAGAACAGAAGGTTCTGAAATTCCAAAAATATCACACAAATAGCTTTATTTAAAGATCCAGGACACAATATTCATAGAGGTTTGCTTATTGAGATAGAAGAATGACTGGAGGAAGTACAGATATGATATTTTTTTTGTACTTTTGAAAAAGCATCCCAACAAGTTAGCACATTAGTAGCTACCAAGATAGAAAGACGTTCATCTGTTTTTATTTTTTAACTTATGGAATTATAAAGGTTGGAAAAGACCTCCAAGATCATTTGGTCCAACCCTACCACCAATGTCACCCACTAAGCCATGTCCCTAAGCACCAGGTCCAACCTTTCCTTAAACACCCCCAGAGACGGTGACACCACCTCCCTGGGCAACCCGTTCCAGTGCCCGACTGCTCTTTCTGTGAAGAAATGTCTCCTCATTTCCAACCTGAACATCCCCTGGCACAACTTGAGGCCATTCCCTCTGGTCCTACCACTGTGTTACCTGTGAGAAGACGCCGACCCCCAGCTCCCCACAGCTTCCTTTCAGGTAGTTGTAGAGAGCAATAAGGTCTCCCCTGAGCCTCTTTCCCAGACTAAGCAATCCCAGCTCCCTCAGCTGCTCATCACAGGCCTCGTGCTCCAGGCCCTTCACCAGCTTTGTAGCCCTTCTCTGGGCACACTCCAGGGCCTCGATGCCCTTCTTGTAGTGAGGGGCCCAAAGCTGAGCACAGTACTCGAGGTGCAGCCTCACCAAAGCTGAGTACAGGGGAGATCACCTCCCTGGTTCTGCTGGCTACACTATTCCTGACACAAACCAGGGTGCCATTGGCCTTATTGGCCACCTGGGCACACTGCTGGCTCATGTTCAGGCGAGCGTTGACCAACACCCTACACCAAAATATGCAGCAATACTAAAACATAGAATAGTTTTCTTATCTATATAATGCCCCAGCACTATATCTATTCAATTAGCAGAGCCTCTGCTGTCCCCCAGAACTTTTAACAGGGCAATAGAAACTACAACACGGTGCCAGAGCTCATCAGTGCTAGTAGCCAGATGAGGTGAACTAAAACTTCTCAAATGCACTGTTGTACTTTTTCCTATTATCAACTTAGCTTTAATTAAAAAACAAACAAACAAACAAACACCACACTGCTGATTTTAAAACCAAGTAGTTGAGATAACGTTACGCATAGAGGAACAGAAAAGACTAGCATCACTTTATAGTGACTATTAAAAATAATCCATATGGCTTGCTACTAGGGGCATAAAAATATCATTTAAAGCCTTCCAAAAATGTGCTAAAATCATGAGATCACTTAACATTATTTCTTTCTGATGTACTCCAAACCACAAGACCTAGTATCAGTATACTTCACCATCCATAATCAAGCCTTTCAGTAACAAGAGCTCTCATGTTTCAACACAGATTTCAGAAAGAATTCTAAACAAACCATTACGTGAGGGAATAAACAAAGTCATGCTTCAGTTCATCTGTGTTGTTATAGATGAGTTGTCAAAGCAGTCCCTGCACATTTACACCTGCCTGTAGAAGACAGTTTTTCTTAAAATTCCCATGATTTCTTTTTAATGCTGATTTTCTGAAATTGTGAAACAATTTCTGAAATTGTGAAACATTCTTGATAAACAAAATCATCACTGAACTTTATTGCACGTGCTGTCAGGTTACAACTTTAAGTTACAACAATATGCTACTGCACAAAGTAACAATGACACCAA